GTCCATGCCCTGGGTCATCGATTTTACAGCATAAAACCCCTCAGTGAGTGTCGAATATTCTCCAAACTTCCGAATCACTGCCAGGCTCAATTGTTTAAAATCATTTCTAACCTTGTGTGGTAGTGACTTTACCCATGGAATAGATTCTTTATGTAAGGTCCGTTTCAACAAACTCGCTTTTTCATCCCGTCTCCTCAGCCCTCTAATCATTGCCTCCTCTTCCACTGTCGCGATATGTGTGTGGATATCCATAGTCTTATTGTGGGGGTCAAAATCGGGAATTCTGACTAGAGCCTTGTCCATCAACTTAAGGGTTTTACTGGTGAACAGGTATTCCGAAAGTTGATTGCTGACAGCGTCATCATCAAACAAGTTATCATCAGGCAATCTGTCACTTTGGTCTGTGCTGTGTCCCCTGTGTTTAAGTGGTGTGCATTTTCTGTGTGCGCGCCCAGGGCCGTGTCGCTCGTGTTGCCATTTCCCTTCAGTTTTTGCCTCTGCCCTTAGTGTACCATGTCCTGGCGATTTTACTTTAACTTTTGTGCAATCAATCCCTGGACTCTGTCCACGTACCCAAGAGAGTGATTTGATGTTACTTCCATATTTATTCTGTGGCTCAACGTCTGTGAGTTTCGCTGGTGTCGCGAGCTTTGATTTCTCCTCCCTCTCGAGGGTGTGAGGACATTTCTCGTCGTTTATTAGAGACGATTTCTCTCCCGTTTCCTTTCCAAAATTTCCCTCATTCCACAATCCCTGTCTGTATGCCTGTGTGAGAAGGTATGAGTCCTGTCCTGCCTTCTCTGCAGTTTTTGCATCGTGTTTGCCTTCGTTACTTTTTATCCAGTCAATTAGTTTCCCCCGAGGTGTGTTCGTGTTATCGATACAGCTCCCTTCCCATATGTCTCTCTGACTGTACTGCTTTGTAACAGATTGGTCGGTACGTTTAAATACGACCTCCCCGTATCCCGTAACCCATTCAAATATTATTCTTAATCCTAGCATCTTAAGTATGGCAAGAGTTACCTTAATATTTCTTTTCAGAGTGCATATAAACAATTGTATCACAGGATGCGTCAGTTCAACTCGAGCAAATAATCTCAGCCCAGCTGTCTTTGTTATACTCTGCTACTCTGGTATTTCCTTTCAGAGCGCGTTTTGTTTGTATACCCCCGTTTACAATCACAAGGCAACGTTAGTTCACAACACTTTGATTAACACATCAGTGATTCGTTCCTGAATTCATGCATAACTGTCTGCGAGAGATCCCGGAAGACGAGCCCCCATTATGTTGTATATGTTGGGTATGAAAATTTGTTATGTTGTATGCGTGCGTGGGTGAAATTATTATGTTGTATATGTGGGTTATGAATATTCAGTGGAAATAATAATAATTAAATGAAATTTGGCCAAATGTGTAATTATCCGGAAATATGTTAATTTATGTAATTACGCACATTTTAATTATGCCAATTCGAGAGGTAATCGTATTAATTATGCGAGTGGGTGTAATTATGATAACGCAAGTCGTTATGATAACCAGACCCCGGTTCACCCCGTTATCGCTTTAACATTTACTGAGTATGTATTAGTGTGTTTATTAAGGTCACCAAGTTCAAATCTCAACGCAGAAGCAGATCTTATGCATAGATTTCAGGAAAGAATCACACAACCACTTCTGTATTGATCAATTTATTACTAATTCAACCTTAACTATGATATAATATGCGAACTCTCAATCCCGGAACGTCAACACGGCATCAATACAGTATCATCAACGATTGTCTGATTTCACTTTGACAACTGCACATGGATCCCGCATAACGCGATGGTTGTTAGTGAGAGAGAGAGTCGTTAAAACACGCAAATACTATGCTTAAGAAAACCTTAATGTTAATGAATGATTATACTCAATATTGTTCACGCAGTACCACACTCCTTATTGACCATACGCAACCCTTATCACGTTGTTAACACCTTGGGTCACGGGACAGTTGAATATTCTGTAGAGGATGCGAGTACGTGCGGCGATTATGACTGAAAGATACTTGAAAGATTATACGGCGATAAAAAAAAACACAATCAAAAACAGTTATTATTCTTAAAGGCACCAATCTCAACAGATACATCGGCAGGTCATCTGACAACAGAACGGCTCGGAGTAAGGGCCTGCGACGGTGCTCCTTTTCCGAAGCTCGTTATCTTATACCAAGTTTACTAATTGGGGACCAGATCACCTGATAAGGATCCGGTGGGCCACCACTCCCCACGTGAGCGTGGCTCGGCGGAAGGAGGTGCCAAGAATCAGTTCGTATTGATGGATCTGTTGGGAATTTATGCGATTAAGAGTACAGCCCACTAAATATTAAAGATAAAAATTAAGAATACTCTTATAAACGACGGAGGGCCATCACTCGGTCTCGTTGTGATGCTTTCCAGCCACGGATGGCTTATGGGTTCGAGTGTTTTTGAGTGGTAAGAGTTGTCTTGAATAGTCAGTGTTCGGAGTCGATTCTTTAGGTCAAACAGACGCCTGGTGGTCGTGTGGTGAGGGGGCGGTGCGCGTCATACGTATCAGTTGATCCCCTGTCACCGTGGCGAACTGGTTCGGATGCCCGTTGATACGCTGTCGCAGTTCGGAACCCGGTCGGTAGGTGGCGCCCACAACTCGCTCGTAGCGTGCAGCTCTGGGTTGTCGCCGATCCGCGATGCTCACCACTCCGGTGGCAGCAGAGACCCCCGATTCGGCAGAGGTTGACGAGCTGAAGATGAGTCGAGCCGACCCGCTGGTCGCAGCTCGCTCCTGAGTCGACCCTCCCGGTCGAGCTCGCTCCTGGGTCGACCCGCTGGTCGCCCTCGCTCCTGAGTCGACCCTCTGGTCGCACTCCTGAGTGGACCCGCTGGTCGCACTCCTGAGTGGACCCACTCTGGTCGCACTCGTTCCTGAGTCGACCCTCCCGTCGCACTCCTGAGTGGACCCTCTCGTCGCACTGACTTCCAATGCTCAGGATCCTTTACTTTATGCCGAAAAATCCCCCTGGATCCCGCCCACAAGGCGGGGCTTCTTCCGATTTTTGCTGTGTCAGGATCTGTCCGTAGGCAGGTGTGTCCATGTGTCTGTCCGTATGTCCGTGTGTCCTTGTGTGCATCACTGACGGTATATTCGTTGTCACACTCCCTCCATAAACCCACGAGCAAACAATCAGATGTTACAAATTGCCTCGAGGTCGTCTCTCTGTCTGGGTGCAATATTATCTCTTGTCTGGCCTTCTTCATGAACCCAAAACACAGACGTTACAAATGTCTCATAGGCGTCTTTGTTCGTGTTGCACAACCTGGAGGGAGGGGCAACACTCTCTCCGACCCGGCGCACAAAGAAATGGTTAAAAAGTTTTAAGTTAACATTTGTCCCTTACTATTTCACAGTTATGATTCTGTATGTAACCTAAGGTCTGTCGTTTCCCATCGTGGTGCTTGACTCAAGTGTAGGTGTTTCCCCGAGCGTATACACACTCCTATCCCGCGTTGCGGGGATACAAAGACGGCCGGGATCTCCCTTTCTCTCCGACCCTGGGTTTCACATCGTTTTTTTTATTATGTATTTATATTCGACCTGGTGGTGATTCATCCCGTTATCCTGGCTTTTCATAAGTTTTACTTTTGTCTTTTCATGCATATGCTTCGGGTCGAGTTGTATAGAAAGCATTAAAGTATGGAAATAACATTTCATATTGACTTAATGATGGTGATGGTTCAGTAGGCGTACTTGTGACCTGGTTTAATTGGAGTGGGTGTGAATATCAAACTTTAGCCTACCCTGTTGTTAAATTCCGACTTTAACGTTACTTTAATAGCAATACAGAATAATTGAGCTTTTTGTCTTAACTAGGCGAACGCGAACTTTTGGTGACCCCCGCAGCCGTGTTATTTAGCTGGGTCTGCCCGCCTTGAGAGATATACAACACTTTTTTTAAATCAGCTCTCCCCTGTCCCTCCAACCTTCTGCTCTGGGAATGTTATTCTTAATTTCAGGTCCAAGGCCTCTTTGGGTTTATCTTTGTTTCCTCAGCTGCAGGAGAACAAGGCGTGCTTCTACCTCCCTTTCTGTGTGCACGTGTTCTAATTAGCTCGGAATCCCTAACACACAATCAGTGATGATTCCTGGCTTTCTGTGGTTGTGATTTAGACAAAGGCGCCTCTGTTTCTTCCATTGCCTTTGAGTCGACACTGCCCTATTATTTGCCCATGTGCTGAGGTCATAGAATTCGTTTTGACTTCAGTAATATTAACATTCAGTATTGGATTAGCAAATGGGCAATGGTTCATTTATGTAGCTCGCAGCCTGGTCTCCAATTTGAGCGAGCGCGAGAATCGATAATTTAGCCTACTCTGTTGTTGAATTTCGAATTTTGACGTTACTTTAAAACCATGCAGGATGGTTGGGCTTTTTGCCTTAACTATGTCTGGCTGACACTCCCACTGTCTCTGCCGCCTGCACGGGTGACATGTGCCCGTTCATCAGGCCTTATCTTTCCTTGAAGCAAGGTTGCAAATTCTGCCATCCTAGCCCTCCTCCAGTTCATTACTTAACAACACCTGGTGTTTTGCAGTTTGCTGCGCTTGGTGTGTTTCACTCATTAAAAAAAACAAGTAAAAAGATAATATATAAAAATCATCAAATATTATTAATCTCAATTATGGAAGAAGGGTTAGGATACAACAGTGTGCCTGCGGACCGCTGCCAATGCAGTAGCAGCAGCATCACCAGATTCCCTCTCTCTCCATCTCATTCTCTCTCCATCTCATTCTCTCTCCATCTCCGTCTCTGCCGGTCTCTCTCCATCCCTCTATCTCTCCATCTCTATGTCTCAATCTATATTTCTCTCTCTCCATCTGTCCATATCCCCTCTCTTCATCTCGATGTCTCATTCTCTAACCGGTCTCTCTCCATCCCCCCCACCCTCCACACCCCCCGCATCTCTACCTCCATCCCACCCGTGCAGAGAACTCCAACATCGCGGCGGCCAAGGGCAGCGAGGGCTGCTTCCACGGCGACGCGCGCCTCTTGGTGGAGGGCGGCGGCTCCAAGAGGCTGCGCGACCTGCGGGCCGGCGAGCGCGTCCTGGCGGCGAGCGGGCCCACCTCGCCGCCCGCCTACAGCGACCTCCTCCTCTTCCTCGACCGCGAGCCCCGCCAGCGGCGCCGCTTCATCACCCTGGAGACGGAAGGCGGCGGCCGCCTCCTCGTCACCCCCTCGCACCTCGTGTTCGCCGCGCCCGGAGACTCCGACGATGACGGCGGCGGCGATAGTGGCAGCGGTGTTCCCCCGGAGGAGCGCGCCGTGGCCCTCTTTGCCAGCCGCGTGCGGCCCGGCATGTTCGTCTTTGAGCTGGCGGGTGCTCTTGCTGATCCTGCTGCTACTGGTCGTGTTGGTGGTGGCGGTGGTGTTGATCTTCCTGGTGGTGCTGGTGGTAGCGTTAGTGGTGGTGCTGGCGGTAGCGTTAGTGGTGGTGCTGGTGGCGTTAGTGGTGGTGTTGGCGGTAGCGTTAGTGGTGGTGCTGGTGGCGTTAGTGGTGGTGCTGGTGGTAGCGTTAGTGGTGGTGCTGGTGGTAGCGTTAGTGGTGGTGCTGGTGGCGTTAGTGGTGGTGGTAGTGGTGTTGTTGTTGGCGATGACGGAGCACCGCGGCTGCGTGCGGTGCGCGTGGTGCGCGTGAGCTGGGTGGAGGCGCTGGGGTCGTACGCGCCGCTCACGCACCACGGCACGGCGATCGTCGACGGGCTGCTGGTGTCGTGCTACGCGGCCGTCGAGACGCACGGCCTGGCTCACGTCGCCTTCGCGCCGCTCCGCACGGCCCACGAGCTCATGCGGGGCCTCGGGATACATTCGCGCAGCAGCAGCAGCGGCGGCGACGGCAATAGCAGCGGCAGCGGCAGCAGCAGTAGCAAGAACGCACCGGGAGCGGAGGGAGAAGGAATTCACTGGTACCCGCGACTCCTCCACACGCTCGCCCGTCTGCTGCTCGGCGAAGACGTGTTCCACATCCTCTCGCCTGGCCGCGCGTGAGCAGCTGGGGAGCCAGGAGGAGCCAGCAGCAGCAGCAGCGGCAGGAGGAGGATGAGGATCCATTGCTCCCGGGGAGGCAAACGTTGCCAGATCCGTGGCTCGGTGGACCAGATCGGTCGACGCGGGTGGCGGGCAAGTGGGAAGGTTCGCGATGATGGGCACCGTGCCAGGGGCAGCCACGGGGGCAGTCGTCGGCCGACCTGGCGGTGCAGCCCGAAGGATGATTTGGGTTTCCCCCAATTCGCTCGTCGTGTTCGAACACGTGACGGACGCGTCTCGCGGCAGGAGAGGCTCCCTAGGGGGGGGGGGGGGGGGGGGGGTCTTCGTCCAAGCTAGAAAATTGGCCAAGGGTCCTGTACGCTATAGGTGAGCTTGCCTATAATGTTAACAGTGATTGTACATCACTTGCAAAGCAAGTGTCGCCAAATATGTTGTTTGTTGTTGTTGCTGTTGTTGTTGTTACGTTGAACAATGAGGTAGCGGACGTTATGAAGGGGCCCTAAATAAAATAAAAACACGCAAATATTAAAACACTGTTTTACTTGCACAGTAAAAAAATTGTAATTTTTTCATTTGCTATACAGCCAAATAATACGACAAATCGCTAATCTTAAACACGCAGTCGTTCGTAAAAGTTGAAGGCGGTATTGCCTACTATAATCGCCCAGAAATGTCTGTCCGTCCCGCGCGTGACGTCACTCCACATGAGACACACCCCACCGCGTGACGTCACTCCACATGAGGCCCACCCCACCGCGTGACGTCACTCCACATGAGGCACACCCCACCGCGTGACGTCACTCCACACGAGGCACACCCCGCTCACTAATATTCATGAGCGGGTGGATGTTTACACCAGCGCAGAGGAAGGTCGAGCTGAGTTAAATAGTTTATAACGCAGAGTCGCTTCAAATATGACAGCGTTTCTTTATAGGAAGTGACGTCAAAAAATAAATCTACGCAGCACAGTGCTACATCCGTGTGTGACGTCACTGAAAAAGAGCCCCCCCCCCCCCTTCATTAATATTCATGCACCACGCGTGTAATTTACACTGACGCACTAGAAGGTCGCACACTCCACATGCCTCACCCCTCCCCAATAACCATGAGCGGGTGAGGTCACTCCACATGCCGCACCCCTCCCTAATAACCATGAGGGGGTGACGTCACTACACATGCCGCACCCCTCCCCAATAACCATGAGCGGGTGATGTCACTCCGCATGCCGCACCCCTCCCTAATAACCATGAGCGGGTGATGTCACTCCGCATGCCGCACCCCTCCCCAATAACCATGAGCGGGTGATGTCACTCCGCATGCCGCACCCCTCCCTAATAACCATGAGCGGGTGATGTCACTCCGCATGCCGCACCCCTCCCTAATAACCATGAGCGGGTGAGGTCACTCCGCATGCCGCACCCCTCCCTAATAACCATGAGCGGGTGAGGTCACTCCGCATGCCGCACCCCTCCCTAATAACCATGAGCGGGTGAGGTCACTCCGCATGCCGCACCCCTCCCTAATAACCATGAGCGGTTGAGGTCACTCCGCATGCCGCACCCCTCCCCAATAACAATGAGGGGGTGACGTCACTCCACATGGGGCCACCCCACCCCTCCTCATTAATAATCATGAGCTGAACAATTTTTCTATTGAATATTTCAGATGTACTGTAATATACACCCGTCCTTGGACGGGCAAAAAAGCTCGTAGTGCTATAGTAATAGAACAAGTGCGGAATAACTGAACCGATATTGACAGCTTGAAAGCATTTAGCGCGGGGCCCTTGAAAGTGCGGGGCCTGTAGCATTTGTAGCTACTACACGTGTAGCTACTACTACACGTGTTGTAGCTACAACACGTATAGTAGTAGCTACAACACGTGTAGTAGTAGCTACACGTGTAGCTACTACTACACGTGTTGTAGCCACCATCCGGATTGGAACTCCCACAGAAGCATTTGGTTTTTCCGTTGTAGCCTTGCGGCCGACATAGCGCCTCCAGCGGATGCAGGGCATCACGATAACCAGTTGTTTGTGTATCGTCATCGTTGTCAGCCTTGATAGTTCCCCTGCTGAATGAAGGCCTCCCCACCGTTCCACTAATCGGAGGTGCCGCAGTGGGGGGTGAAAAGGACAACACACAACACACGCACGAGGAAGACTTGCTTGCTATTTATCTGCGTTGGAAATGAGGTGAGGTTACAAAAGCCTGTCCCTAGCGTATCGTCGGCCAAATACAAAACTGGGTACCGCCTAAAGATTAGCTACGACCATATTAGGGTGTTACCAGTTGTTTTGCTCTGTCCCACTGACTTTTCTCAACAATCGAGAAGATACATTTTAACTTGCACTGGCTCACAGATCGACGCGCTCAATCTTTCTGTCTCTCTCCGTGCTGTTGTTCCAAAGCTCATCCAGTAATAATGATTAACATGTATTCGTCAAAGTGCCTCAAGGCGCCTTGTAAGAACACGGCCAAGAGAGACGGAGAAGCTATGAAGACTACATTGACTTGCCAAGATGTGGGTTTAGGACGATACTTATTGAAAGTGTCCACACCATCGAATAAACGAATCTCCAGCGGTAGGTAGGGAATCCCAACCAGCCTTGGCCCAGCCACAGCGAATGCGCTTCAGCCCGGGAACGCAGCCTGGGATCGAGGTTCGCACAGCAAGGGCGGAGTTTCGCCGATATATCGATTCGTCTTGGCCGTGTCCGTGTACCCCGATCCGTCTGTAACATCACTGGCGAGTAGAAAGACCCCCCGCCTTCACGACGGCCGACGGGAATGAACTGCGCGATAATCGATTCGAGAAATGACCAAAGACGGCTGGCAACGCCGGGCTCCAATGTATAAATAGCGAGCGAAGCGATTCGGTGCTGCTGCTGCCGCTACATTCGCAGCGGTGCACAGTCACAGATTGTCAACAACAAACGCAACAAATCACTCGACGAGTTCATCAGTAAGACCGCGCGCCCTCTGAGTGGCGGCGGCGGCAGCGGCGACTCCTCCCAACTGAGCTCAGCTTTGTCCGGCATCCCCCGTTCCGTCCTCCCGCGAAGCCAAAATTTTCATCGCCATTGGAATTTGGTCAAACCTTTCAACGTAAGTATAAGTGTTCCACCTTCAAAAAAACCAAATCGACTTAAGAGTCTTGAGACTCAGAGTGACGCTTTCACAAGAACATTTCAGACATTTCTATAGAATATATGATTAGAGACACTGTGAACTTGCGCATGGCGACACCGCTCGAGTGTGAGAGTCGGCCCACGTTCCCGCAAGTGCAGCGAGTGGATTGTCAGGCCCGTCACCAGTGACAACACAACAACAACAACAGCAGCAAGCGCGTCACATTGGGTTCCGCACTTGATCCGGTTGGCCTTGCGACGAACATGAACCCCACCGATTGCCGAGCTGGTGGGGGAAATGCTGGCCTCTTACTGCGGCGGACCAGAGCTCCCTTATTAAATCCTTTATATTAAGTTCACTTGCTTGCTTGCGCGCTTACGACCGTGCAAATCTTTCGGTCGTTTTTTAACCCACTTCCCGTGATCCAATCGAGCTGACATTTTGCACACAGACTCGTTGTGCGTGACAATTTATGTTCGTGACATTTTTTCCCCAAAATTTTACACTTTTTAGGACAAAATTTTTATATTTAATTACCAATTGCTTAATGGTGCCATGCAATCATCTGACCCATAGGTGGCAGCCATCTCAAGCCAGAGGACGAGAGGACTCTAGCCGCCACGCATATAAAGGATTTATAGTGAAAAACTTTGTTTTTACGGGTTATATTTGTATTATGTTTTGTTTGTTAAAGGGGATCTCGGAAGCAGCTCTGTGGTATCCTCTTCCGCGGGCCGTTGCCTTGACACTAAGGGGTCGTCGCGTCGCGCTGCTGCACTGTGGGAGATCCGAACGGAGTTTCTGTCACGTGACGCCCAGAGCACGATGGGATGCAGGGGGCGGAAGAGGGGTTGAAGGCAATCGGCAGATATGAAATATAATGAAGTAAATGTAATAACATATAATGAAGTAAATGTAATAAAATATAATGAAGTAAATGTAATGAAATATAATGAAGTAAATGTAATAAAATATAATGAAGTAAATGTAATGAAATATAATGAAGTAAATGTAATAAAATATAATGAAGTAAATGTAATGAAATATAATGACACATAGTAGAACGTAGAATTATTTTTGTAAACGGTTGGAGGAAATGAAATATATTTCGAAACGTGCCGTGGTGTTCACGAGGACGCTCCTGAAACAGACCGTTGAGACTCGGCGAGGCTCTCCTGGGGAAGCCAAAAGAAATCGTCGTTATCATCGTAATAATATTAATTGTTATTCAGACGCAGGATGTCTGTACGAGTTCTATAGTCGCGTGTCGTAAAGCGGCTCTCCCGCTAGGCCGAGTGGAACCCGCAACCTTGACGCCGTCCCCCATCTACGGCGAATGTGCACGGCACGTGCCTCCTCCATGCAGTCACTGCCGTGGCATCGTCACGCAGAGGCGCGCTGCAAGGAATTCCCTGTGGGGCCGTCCATAAATGACGTCACGCACCTAGGGGAGGGGGGGGTCAGATTTTTGTGACGATGTGTGACGAGGTGGGGGGGTTGAGAAATGTGACGTCACGTAAAAATGCGCAACTTTAAATAAATATAGAATTGTTATAACAACGCTAATTGTTATACCAACACTCCGACAACATCAGAGTGCAGCGCCACATTAAATACGCACTTCAATGACAATAGTTTAAATCGATTTGAAGCGTGTTTTATTTTCAAAATTGAAATATGTTTTGTGACATCATATTTGAGGGGGGGGGGGGTTCTGACTTTTTGTGACGCCGTGTGACGAGAGGGGGGGTCAAAAATCGCCCAAAATCGCGTGACGTCATTTATGGACGGCCCCTGTGCACGCTCTGACCCCCGGTGGGCGTTCGCCCAACATCTCCTCCTCCTCCGCTCGAGCCGCGGACGAAGTC